CGTTTCTGGAGCAGAGTGGCCCGTGCTCGGGAAGAGTTCGAGTTTGGTTCAAAGACCGCTCGTGATATCATGAGGCGGACTCAGAGAATTATCAAATCGCCTAGTTATCTGGGGTATAATTCTGATTCGCAGCTCAGTGTTTCCAATACCAGCGGGTTTGAAGTGGAGGACTTGTTAAAATCACAAGATAACAATGACCGCGTTAATGTTACACCGACAAGCAATGACCGCACAGGATTAATTCAAGCCATGCAAGACCTGCAAATAGAAGATGTGCTACCAGAAACTGATCCGAATCTTGATTGCCATGACGAAGACATAATGATGGAAGCATTCGGTGCGTCACTTGACAAATCAACTTGTCTTGATCATTCGTTTTGGACTGAAAGATGGGTGAAAAGTGTACGGTTGCCAAAAAGACCATATACTTTGCCCAATGGTAACATTGGTAGGAAGTACGTGGACCTCCTGACACATGAACCGAAGCTTGTTTCTACCACTGCTGATTCCACTTCAGAAAGAGTTCTGGTGATGAGTCGTGTTTTGTTACAAAGAAATCCAATGATCAAAGCATCAAAAGACATTCAAAGACTTATTGGACGGCGCATTGAAGACTGGAAAGAAAACAAATTCGACAAGTTGTTGGCGGAAGCAGTGAGATGTGTCAAAAAGAAACAAAAAAATCATGATAATTTGGACGACAAACATGTCTCGAAAGTGTTTGCTTCATTAATGATGAAAGGCAAAGTGAGAAGCGCTATTCGGTGGCTCTCGGAGAATGCAAGCGGGGGTGTGCTTGATCCTATGCAAGATGTGAAGAAAGATGTGACCGTTTTAAAGACTTTGAAGTCAAAACATCCAGGGCCACACAAGTCACATCTCTCTTCGCGATTTCAAGTGCCAGTTTTATCCGACTTTGAAGACGTTATAATCAGTTCTACTTCCATTGAAAAGACAACACGTTCTTTGCAGGGCAGTTCAGGAGCGTCGGGAACCGATTCTGAGCATTGGCAGACGGTTTTATTACGTCATGGGGCTCAGAGTTCTTACTTGAGAGACGAAGTTGCAACTCTCGCCACAAAAATGTGCAATCAAATCTCACCATGGTCGAAAGTCTGAGCACTGGTTTCTGGAAGATTGATTGCGCTTGATAAATGTCCTGGCGTGCGACCTGTTGGCATAGGTGAGTGTCTACGGAGAATAATTTGCAAAAGTGTGGCAGAGTTCACAAAAATTGACCTTGAAGAAACATGTTCGACTGATCAATTAACTTGTGGGCTGAAAGCTGGCGTTGAAGGTGCAATTCATGCGCTCTCTGATGTTTTTGATGACAACAAGAAAGATGGCTGTGGCATGCTGTTGATGGATGCATCAAATGCTTTCAACTCGCTCAATCATGAAACACCGTTGTGGAATGCTCGAATATTGTGACCTAGATGTTCTAGATTTCTCTTCAATACTTACAGAGGCTTCGCGTCGCTTTTCGTTGCTGGCGCCGAGGAAGTGATATACAGTAGGGAAGGAACAACACAGGGAGACCCACTGGCAATGTTCTTTTAAGGTGTTTCACTTCTTCTCCTGATTCGGAAGTTAAAGGATCCGAACAATTGGTTACAAAGTTGGTATGCTGATGATTCTGCGGCCATAGCAAAACTCAAGAAATTGTAGATATGGCTCAAAACTTGATTGAGGAAGGTCCCGCCTTCGGTTACTTTCCAGAGCCTTCCAAAAGGTTTCTGATTGTCGATAAACAATATGCTGAACAAGCGCATCACATATTTGGCAAGTACTCGATTACTATAATGGAAGGAAAGAGGTTTTTGGGTGGTTTTATTGGAGACGGAAATAAAAAGGACATCTACCTGGAAAATAAAGAACTTGAATAGGAAGACAAAATTGAGAAACTTTCTTTTGTAGCAAAAACAGAACCACAATGTGCTTTATCAGGACTGACTAAGTCCCTACAATCGGAATGGAATTTTTACCATCGTGTTTTGGGTGGTTCTTGTCAGCTTTTTCAACCGCTAGAGAACCTAATGATGGAGAAATTCTTATCTGCGATACTTGGAAGTTCGTCGCTTTCATCAATGGAGAGACGTCTCTTTTGTTTGCCAGCAAGAAAGGGTGGTCTTGGAGTGTCTAACCCAACCAGTTTCGCTGATGAGTCATACAACACGTCAGGTGAAGCAATTACGGTTCTTTATGATGCTATTATTGATTAGCACGGTTTTTCCCATGAAGACCACAGAAAGCAAATGTCTCGATCGCGGAACAAACATCATCGAATAATAGAAGAAAAACATGAAGAGTTGTTGGGGGAGTTATTGAATGAGCTACCAGCAGACCAAGTTCGCGCAGTAAAAACAATCAATGAAGGAAGCTTGTCTGCCTGGCTGACAGCGGTATCGATTGCTGCAGAAAACTTTGATCTTCCAGAATTGGAGTTTCGGGATGCATTGAGTGTCCGGTATAACAAAAACTTGAATGCTTCACCAACTTTTTGTGATGGTTGCCAGTCATCATTCACCCTACGGCATGCGTTAGCGTGCAAAAAAGGCGGTCTATTAACTTTACGGCACAATGAGATTATGGATGCTGTAGGCAAATTAGCTTCTTTAGTGTGGAAGGATGTACACAGAGAGCCTGTTATTAGAGAATACAACCCGCAAGATGAGACACCAGCATTAATTGCAGATTTTTTTTGTCGTGGAGTTTATATTAAACAGGGAGGAGCGTCTTCTGATATTCGTGTCTCTGACACTGACGCCATCTCCTATCAGAACAGAAGCCCCATGCGTGTTTTGCACTCAGCAGAGGTTGAGAAAAAGACAAAATATTCAGACGCGTGTCAGGAAAGATTTATGTCTTTCATTCCTCTTGTTGTGTCTGTTGATGGGATGCTCGCTCCAGAATTTGCAAATTTCCTTCGGAGAAGAGGAGAAGCATTATCTACCAAGTGGGAGAAACCCTATAGTAAAATAATGAGCTGGGTGAAGTGACGGCTGTCTTTTGCAGTGCTCTGTGCTTCCAGTGTGTGCTTCCGAGGCACATGGACCAAGTGGAGGAGTCTTGGCTCAGACCATGATTTCTTACCCTAGAGAAATATTTATGGGTGTTCTACAATGAAGAGAAATTGGCTAGCTATGTGTTAACTCTGCTAGTAATGTAAAACGTGGACCTAAACGAAACAAAAATGTTGAAAAAATGAACTAAATAGATAATTGACTGATTTCAAAGAAAAAAAACCATCTAACCATTAAAACAGATGAATTTTGTTGGTTAATGTTTTGCCGCAAATAAAAAATTAGTGAATTTTTGATAGAAAAACCGGTAGCTCAACTACTCAAACGAAAAGCTCTTGCAAATATTTTGGTGTTATTATTGATAAGAAACTGAGTTTTAGAGAACATATAGATCAGCTTAATAAAAATTCCAGTAGATTTTTAGGTCAAAACTTCTTCCGTAAAAAGCAATTAGTTCAGTTTAGTAACGCATATGGAAAATCAGTTACCGAACTTGGAGTTTTACCGCATGGAAACGCATCAAAAATAGAATTGAAAAAGATATGCAAGTTACAAAAACGAGTTGTTAATCTCCTTTCTTTCAAAAAAATTACGCGTCTACTCGACAACTTATGATTATTTCCTCTGTTTACGAAACTTTCATTAATAATCATTTTATATTAAATTTTGATGATTGAGGATAAACTGCGTCTACATCAACTCGTGAAACCGCAAGAAATGTTATCCCTTCAGTTTTTTTCACGTAGTGAAATTAGAGCTCAGGCGCTTAAAATTAAGTTGAATAGTACATAAAACTTTGCAAAACAAAATGATTTGATTCCTTGAAACATATAAACAATGACTCATCTGTAGTTTACAAATTTTTTTTCAAATCTTTTCCATAAACTATGTTTTCGATAACAAGCAAACATTTGAGTTGTTTTTAAGTAAAATTATTCGATCTCACTCTCAACTTCTAATTAGCTCCTCTCATTTTACGCTCTCGGGGTCACCTTAAATGTGCTGAACAACTCCTTGGCCTGTATCCTCCAGGCAGTGATTTCACTATCTATTGCTTCTGGTAAATTGAAATATTCAAATTTCGACCAGCCGTGATTAGAATTATCTGGACAACTGAACGGAACTTGAAATTCAAATCGCTTTTTTCTCAATTCATTGATTTTAGATGAAAAATGAAGAAAACAAAATTGCTGAAATTTTTAGTGAAATTAAATTGGTGCAATTTTTTTAATGCAAAATATGGGCAAAAGTTAAAAGTTTTAACCAAAAATGGCTTCCAGATACACACTAATGAAAAAAAAATTGTTCAAAGTTTAGTAGGTTATTTTCTTCTCAGTTTTCGTTGGGCTACATAAGGCTCAACTTGACATAGTTTTGTCAGCAATTGATCTGTTAGTCATAACTAGTCATAAATATTCCGCTTTAGAAAAAAAAACTTTGAGCCCAAATTTTCCAAAATAATTTGCACCATAATCATTCTGAAAAAATTGTTTTTTTTTCTGCATGTTTTTTCATCATCATTCTTTGTCTAAAATCAACCAAGTTTGAGAAACACGCGTTCTATACTTTAAGGTTTATTCATTTTGTCCAGATAATTTAAATCAGCTCAGTTTTAAACTGAGAAAAAAAAACGCATTTTAAGAGAGGAGTTAAGATTTAAAGAACGAGATTTTCATAGGATAATCAATTTGGGATCCGAAGCGTTAAATCCGTGGGAACGGGGGGTGGGGGGGGATGGAGGCGAGTTAAGCTCGAAAAGTACGATTAATCTGGCTGTTAATTGGACTTCGATTCTGTTTCTTTTTCTTAGAAACATCTCTGCGTGTCACCTGTGTAAGTCTTGTAATATATTAACTTAACTTCAATTTAACAGCACCTGCAGTTTTATTACGTAATGAAACATCTTATAAACTGTTGAAAAAGTCCTTATGCGAGAAACTACAGAAAACGCAGAGTCGAGCTACAACTATACAACTAGTACATAAAACGCATCGGCTCTAATTTTGTTCATATTTTTTCTGCACGTTAACTATCTGCATTGTAAAACTATCTTTTGATCAGTTAGACAGTTCATACCATCTAATTATAAGTACTAAAATAATTCATTAACTCGGCGTCCAAAAAACATCACCAAACGAATACACCTGTAAGTTCGCTTAGTTCTCCAAAACTTCTAATAATGGTAATACTGGGTGTGGTAATAGACCCAAAACACTTGTCCACCCCGTTTTTTGAAGAATAAAAAAATCTGATTCACTAAAATTTTAATTTTGTCTTTTTTCTGCCTTTTGTTTTTGTCTCAGCCACTTTTTTTGACATTAATAAGATTATGCTAATCAACTTGTTTCCAATAGAAGTATTTCAGCTAAAAGAACATGCCTCGTGTTTTTTAATTGTTTGGTTGCTGTTATGGAATTTTTTTGTTCGCAGGGGAATAATTTCTTGCAATTAAATTTAGAGAAGTCCAAAAAAGTCTTAATTAAAAATTTCTACCTGCAAAAATTAATGTTTTGCGCATTAGTACTATACAATTTTTTCCACGTTATTCCACTTCGGCTATTTTCAGTCAGATTTTAATACTAAATTTTGACGCTGCAACCTTTTTATTATTGAAATATGAATTCAATCATCCATTTTTAGGCGGGTTTGACACTCCTTCACCGAAAGTCTTCTGTTCAGAAGACGAAGTGTAGTATGACCTCTCTGACAGTCTCTGGGTGGAACGGCACTGATGAAAAAACCTCTCTTTGCTGGAACAGCGCCGATCTTATCAATTACTCGTAACACATTTCATCATGAATCATATCACAATATATAACCTAATGAAAAAAATGGGGCATAATTGAGGGGGTGTTGTCTTTTCCGAGCTCTGCCAAATCACTTTAAAAACCCTATTTTGGCAAACCCAATACCCCACCCCCGAAATCTGACATCTAGCAACTTAATGTATGATTTTAGGTGTTTCAATGGACAAGTCTGCTGCGATGAATCTAAATGCTGTCCCGACTCAAATTCCGCTATGGAGAAAATCACCGAATTCATCGATATAAATTTTTGGTTAGAGGGTATTTATTTATGCGCCAACAATTTGTCGCAGCCGGCAATTGGTCGCTGGTAAAAATTTTACGGAACGTTAAAAAACTGGCCAAGTTTAACCCCCGTCGTGGTCGTGGTCGGTTTTTATGTTCAAATTTTTATAACCCCAATCAATCCATTTAGCGACCAAAAACCCACAGTCGCCAAGCCAAGTCAAAGCCCCACTCAAATTCTGAACATGATCCCAAACTAAGTCTGAAAAATAGTCCTAAACAAAGTTAAACAAATAACGTCTCAAATACAGAATGAATAGACTATCATATATATAATCCGACCACGATCTCCGAGTTCCACGATCCAACGATTTCAAACCTGGTTCGTCGCAACGGTCTAAGCAAACGTTTTTGTTCATCACTGTCTGAACTAACTTTTTCATTCCCCACAACCTGAACGGATTATTTTGATTGCCACGGTCCCAAGAAATGCGCTCACATCCCTACAGATCAAATCGGATTTCTTCGCTCATCACAGACTAAAAACAAACAGTTTTGGTCCCCGCGTTCCGAAAACACCAAGTTTTTACCCCTACGGTTTGAACATGCCAAACATTGTGATAAAATGTTACTTTGTTGTAGCTAATTCTAAGTTAAAACTATTAAAAAGAATAAGAATTAAGATGAATTAGTCGGTAAGTTAAAACATTAAAACAGTGAGAGATCATTCTCTCCGCCGGAGAGAATGGCTAATGAAGGTCATAACTAAGTGACCAGTTAATTAAATAAGTATGTTTAGCAATAATTGCAAAACCTGATGTAAAATCACAACATTCCCTTAAGCAGGAAAAAATTTAAATTGCAATATAGTAATGCACAATAACTAACTATGACTGACTCCTTTCTCCCCCTTTAAGGACGAGGAAAGAAAATTAAAGCGCCTTAAGATGAGGCACTAACACTAAGTAAGCTCCACTAGTGTTAAATGACAGCAACAAAGGTTATCCAGATTCCGATGGATAAGGGTTATGTTAAGATGAGATAAAGGCATCACGTTTTGGCACAACGCTGAATTTAGGACCACGTTTTATGAGTGAGGTCATGGTTTATAATGCGCGAGTGAAGAGGATATGATTTAAAGAAATTATGGGAGCAACAGATGATAATTTCTTTTGTAGGGTGAAATTTATCCGAAGGATAAAGTTGTCGAATTTAGCAAACACATTTTGGTAACTGGAAAATTAGCACCGGTTTACAAGGTAAAATGCGTAGATAGCACATAATTTTAATGGAGTTGGTCTTGGTTTGTAAAACACAAACTGGAGTGAAGGCGAATTAAAGAATTTAGGAAAACACGTGAAGATGTCTTCTTTTTACTACATGAAATTTTATCCGCAGGGTTAAGTTCTTAAGTTTAGTGAACGGCCGTTAATATCTGAATGTTAGCACCGGTTTACTCAGTAATGTGTGTTATTTGGTAAGCCAGAATATCAGATTAAAGTATATCTAAGTGGTTATAAAGTTTTATAGTCTTTTAAAAAGTTTTCGAGTTCAGTGTTGAAAAGTTCACTATCAAGATCGGAGTGGTCGCCGAAATTTGCTATTTCCATTCTCAGTGATTCATCGGTTGATGAGTTTGACATTTGATCTGATGAAGATGATGAATCTGAATCTAGAACAATTAACTCCGCCGGATTCGTCTTGTTGATTGTCTCATGTGGTTCCTCAATCTCTAACACAATAGGCTCGGCCGCCAAACCAGAGGCTTCTTGGACACTCTCTACGGCATCAATAAAGTAACGTTGACCATAAAATTTTGGTGGGCCGACATTTCTACTAGAGCGACGGATAGTAGCAGGAATTTTACCGGGTATTATGGCAGGACTGTTGGATATAGTGCACTCATCCGTTGAGTCACTTATCTCATACACCGGAAAGTCTGTGTTTGAGTCGGTCTCCGTCGGATTATGTTCAACTTGTAAGTCATTTTGTCCAATGGTGTCGTTTTCCCCTCCCTGATTTGCGGTTCTCTGATCCGCCGAGTTAGATGTTCGGCTGGCTGGCACTATACTTATTGGGCACTCATATGATTGATCCATGGGTTGTTCACTGATTGGGAAACTGTCGTTTTCTAAAATCTCAGATTTTATTTCAGGATTGGTTATAGTAGAATTAAAATTATTTCCGATTGAGATGTGAGGTGTAAGTGAATCCGAAATAAAGCGCTCTCTGGCTACGTCTCTACAAGGGAAACCGCCCGCTATCCATTCCCATTCACTAGTATCCGAAATATCCGAAGGAATTAGCATAGATTCATCCGAAGCGAGGTAACCTGGATGAGTTGGTGACTTCTTTGAGCGTCGTGTCTATCTTCTTGTCGGGATGGATGATGATCCAGAAATGCGTGTCCTAGTTAGGTTATCGGATGATGTCGGGTCTAATTGTCTGGTCCTTCTTTTTGTTGACTTCTTGGGTTTTGGTTTTCTTTTTGAGCCTTCCAGTTTCTGACCTACTTCAACATTAGGGTTAGAAAAGTACGGGAATGAAATGTTTCCTCTAAAAGGTCTGATTTTATTTGAGGTAGAGATAGGAATCGCAATGTCGGATTTTCGTATTATTTTTCCGTCGGATAACTTAACTGTCGAAGTCGAAGAATTTATAATTCTTTTGTTTAGTTCTTTATAAAAACAGTCTCGGTTGATATTACCATTAGTTTTCCGAAGGATTTTACCTTTAAAAGGGCTTTCGATTGGTATTCTGTTTTGCGTCATTTTCGAGGATGAAGCATAGTCTGTATCGTAGCCTTTTTCAGTCGGATTTTTGTTCTTCTTCGCAATCAAATCGTCCTTGTATCCGTCTTCTATTCTATCATCCGCGTTCCAATCCTTAGCTCGATCCTTAGACAATATTGATTTCCCTTTGTCTAAAATTCCAAAGGAAGGTTTACCCGAAGCTAATTGTTTCCAAATAGTATTTGTTTTTCTGTTATAGTGGATCTCGAAAGGTGAGCATTTAATTTTTGATTGGAAAGTAGAACGTAGGTTCCAAATGATTTTTGAAACGGCATTTTGCAGTGTGGTTTTTTGATGTTCTTTTGAGATAGCCAGTAGTTTGACTTTTACAGTGTGTACAAGTTTTTCGACTAATCCGTTGGAACGGTGATCGCCTACTGTACAAAAGATTATTTTGATGTTGTTAGAATCGCAGAATGATTTGAAGTCTTGACTTGTAAAGCAAGTAGCATGATCCACCCTTATAGAATAAGGTATCCCGTGTAAGAATATGTAGTCTTGTAAAAATTCTATAACTGTCTTTGAAGAGGTAGATGATGTAATTTTTGCCGACGGAAATTTAGAAAATCTGTCAATACAAAGTAAAATGTATTTATTTGACCCCCAATAAGAATCCAAAGGACCCGCGAAATCTAAATTAAGTTCTTCATTTGGTTCTGATAATGGAGGAAGTTCACTAATTTGTGAATTAGGAATAACAGATTTTATATTCTTACCCGCCGATGTACACTCTGAGCAATTAATTCCATGAAAGTAGATTTGTCTGTTAATGTGGGGCCACCAAATGTATTGGGCCAAATATTTCATTCCAAATTGACCTGGATGTGTTTCGTGGAGGGTCTTCATCATCGCGTTTCGTAGGGTAAATGGAATAACGAGTTTGCCGTCCATGTAAAGTAATCCATCGGATGCGTGAAGGTCTCGGGTGAAATGTTTGAAATAAGGAGAATCTGCATTAATCTTCTCCACCTTATTTTGAAGTGCTTTAACAATAGGGCTTAACATGGGATCGTCTTCTGTCAAGAGAGCCACTAACTTGGCGTTAAATAAAATATTTAAATCCAAGGGTCGATCCGGCAACTTCAAGTTTTCACGGTATTTTTTAACGAGATTGATATGATTTGGTAAAAGTTTGAATTCTAAATCTACGGAAATACCGGAAGTGGTGGGATTAATTACAATATTCTTATTATTCATATTAACAGTATCTACAATTTTTTTATCTACAGGTGAATTAATTAGGCTACAATTAAGAATTAAAAAATAAAGAAATGCGGAATTTGAAATGGAAATAATTAAAGTATTTGTGTTGGAATAATCCGTTGGAATACAATTTGAGGTACAAAATTCTGTTCTTCTGTGATTGAATGAGCAAATTGGAAAAGACGAGTTAATAAGTTTTAGTACTGCTGCTATTAGGTAATTACGTAATAAGACGTAGTCGGAATTTTCCAGATTGAGACCAATGGCTGAGCAAGTAGTTCTTAGTTTCTCCGACAGATTTAATGATTTATTAATCTTATTAATGTTTGCTACTACGAATTCTTCGTCGTAATGTGATGTTGGGAGGGCTTTTCCGGATGGAATTCTAGAAATAAGGTCAGTGAAGCCCATGTCTTTTCCTGCGATATGTTTGATTGAGAAATTAAAAGGTAATAATCTGTCTACCCATCTTGTTAATCTACTGTGGTAGGTTTTATTTCCGTGGTTTGGTGAAAGAGCGGATAATAGGGCCTTGTGATCAGTGATTATTTCGAAATCAGATCCGTAAAGGTAATTTTTATAATGCTCAACAGCCCAAACAACCCCTAGAAGTTCGAGTTCGTTAGTAGAGTATTTAGACTCGTGAGGATTTAAAAAACGTGACGCAAATGAGATTGTTTTCCAATCGTTCCCATGGAGTTGTTCCAGCGAGGCTCCAAGTCCATTGTGTGATGCGTCTGTTTTCACTCTAGTTTTTCGTTTTACGTCGAAATGTGTATTCTCTGTTAGGTTTACGATTTCTTCTTTTATTCTTTCAAACGCTTTTGTATGATCATCGTTCCATTGGAATATTGATTTCTTATTTAGGAGCGGTCGGAGTGGGCTTCCTAAGGATGCAAGGTTTGGGACGAATTTAATGTATTGGTTTATAGAACCAAAAAATGATCGTAATTCTTTCAGATTCTTCGGTATAGGTAGGTCTTTTATAGCTTTCGATTTGTCGAATAACGGGGTAATTCCTGATTTAGAGATTTTAAATCCCAACCATTCTATTTCTTTTTGAAAGAATTTACATTTTGACCATTTTACGGCAAAGTTGTATTCGTCGAGGGTCGATAAAATTTTTAATACAATATTCTTGTGGTCTAAGAATGTTCCTTTGGAAGAGATTAAAATGTTGTCCAAGTAACAGTTAGTAAATGGGATTGAACCTAACGTAGAGTCCATTACTCTTTGAAATTCGTTGGGCATATCCCCTAAGCCGTAAAAACCAGTTAAAAATTGGTAAGTACCCGTAATGTCACCGCCCACGATACTGAAGTTACATTGGTTACTAGTAAATTTGTCTAATGCTAATTGACTGTATGCATTTTTTAAGTCTAAGTTAGTAAACCACACTTCTCCAACGGAATCATTAGTAATTTGTGCCGCGACGTTGTCTACAAGTTCGTGGATGTTTGGCATTTGATATTTGTTCTTGTAAATCTGTTTGTTTATGAACTTGGAATCTAACGCCAGTTTGATGGATTTGTCTTTTTTGCAAGTGATGACTATTGGGCTAATAAATCTGTCTTCGTCGCAATTTTCTAATTTTTTAATATGTCCCTCTGCTTTTAATCTATTGAGTTCTGTTTTTACCGCGTCCAGTAAATGGAGGGGAACTCGTCTTCCTTTTAGTTGAATTGGTTTTAATGGTTCGTGAAAATGGGTAATTTTCATTTGATTTTTGATTTTTCCAATCCGAAGGAATAAATTTTTAAATGACTTTGATATATTAAGGATTTCCCTATCTTGGTTTGTTTGGGAAATGGAATTTATTGACTTACACTGCTTGTTGGTCTGGAAATGTGGAAAATGTTTCTGAGAGACTTCTATTCCCACTTTTGGAAGGTTGTCGTTTCCTAAGATATTCCTTTCATGTCCTTCGGTTAGGAAGAATTGACAGTCGTTGTCTGACCAACCATTTGAGAATATCGGAATCTTCACCTTTCCAGTGATGTTTATGGCATTATCCGTGAATCCACAGTAAAGGTCTCTAGTTGTCTTATCCACCGGATAAATTTTCAAGTAGGGATCGCGTAATTTCAATTCGTGAAGTACGTTTTTCTTAAGAAAGCTCACCGGGCTAGCTGAATCCACTTGAATGTTTAAAATTACTTGGTTTTCTTTTCCGAGTCCGATGTTTAATAATTTCTTCAGTTCCTTTCCGTCGTTATCAAAAATTGTAGTTACATTTAGTACAGAGTAATCGTCGTTTTCACTTTGTCCAGATTCCGACCATGCGTTTATGACGCCGCAACATTATCTATCCGTGTGGTCGTTATTTACATCAGGAAAATCCGACGGATTAAAATCTGTATTATCTACAATTTGAGTATTTACAATGTTTACATTTTTACGTCGAGATCTACAAAGTCTGGTGAAATGACCTTTGAATTTACAAGAAGTACAAGTCGTGTCCTTTGCTGGGCAAACTGCTAAGTGTCCTTTTGAGAATGAACCGCCACACTTCATACAGCTGTTACTTCTTTCGATGTTGAGAGTTGGTTCTCTTTTGACGTTAAAATGGTTGTTTGGTTTATAAACAGATGATCCGTTGGATTTAAAATTATTAGTTAACTTCAAGTGATTCAGAATTCCTTTTTCATCGATGAGTGCTACGTTTAGTGCTTCGCGTGGAGGGAGGGTTTCTGTTAATAATTTCCTTTGGATGTCGTAGTTTTTCATATTATTTATGAAAATATCTCTTATCCACTCTTCTTCTCCTGCGGATATGTCGCACTTTTTCGCCATTTCAGCTAAGGCACCCCAAAATTGTTCGAGGGATTCTCTGTCGCGTTGTTTTCTATTTAACAGTTTATGTCGTTCAAATGTGACATTTGATTTTCTTACGAAAGCAATCGCTAAGCACTCCCAGAATTCTTTAAAGGAAATTTGTAAGACTTTCACCTTGGTAAATTTCTGTCCGAAGATCCTTTTTCCTTCATTTCCCAATGCCAGATATAAGACCGAACGTAATTTCTTGTCTGCTTCTTCTATTCGCATTCCGTTAAATTTCTTAGTTTCGGTTTTTATCGAAGCTGTTTCTTCTTCGTCATATCGTCTTTGTTCTTGGGTATTTCTCTCCAATCTCAAGCGTCTTTGGGCGTCTGTTTCACCGTCCGGTGGGTTTTCCAAATTTGGTGGTAGTGGATGTTGTCTCTCCGACGGATTGAGTAGATTTTCTATATCTATGTTTTCTTTAGCAATTATAGCTAATTGAAACAGATCACTCCAATCTTCCCAAGGAATGGGTGGGTCTACCGTATGGTTTTGCCAAAAGGGAGGTATTCCTCTCACGTTGGATTCGTTAGATGACTGCGCCATGATAAAATGTTACTTTGTTGTAGCTAATTCTAAGTTAAAACTATTAAAAAGAACAAGAATTAAGATGAATTAGTCGGTAAGTTAAAACATTAAAACAGTGAGAGATCATTCTCTCCGCCGGAGAGAATGGCTAATGAAGGTCATAACTAAGTGACCAGTTAATTAAATAAGTATGTTTAGCAATAATTGCAAAACCTGATGTAAAATCACAACACATTGGCACCCTCTGTCTGAAAAAAGCCACGACTTTGTCTCTGGGAGCTTGACAAAAAATAGCTGAATGAATAAACCAGGCGTCCTGGGTATTAATGCTTAACTAAAAAATTATTATAAATGTATAAATCATGCTGAAGTGCACGAGAATAGCGGGGGGTATTTTACAAAATAACGAAACATTAAATTTGTTTGAAAATATACTGCGACATCTTTCTGATTGGCTAAATAATAATGATTAAACAATTTGATCACTCCAGGTGTTTTTTTTTCTCAAGAGACAATATTCTCAAGTTTACAATATTCGAAAACTTTACCATTATTGATTTTTTGATGATTGTATTGAATGAAACGGTCATGATTACGCATTAGCCGTTAAAAAACACGGGTTATTATTCGATAAAAATATCCGCACTGAAAAAAAAAGCGTCTCAGTAAAAAAATGCGAAATATTGGTGATGAAAAGAGCAAAGGACAAAAAATAACAAACTAGACATCGAATATTTGAAACGAGTCTTGAATAAATTTCCTCCTGATGATCGCCGACTTTATTTCTTAAATCAATTTCAGGATCCTGGTGGGAATACTTGGCACCCTTGTGATTGTTTTGACTGCAGCCATCATCTCAATCGTCATCTACATCCAAAAGTGCATGAAACCCGGTTTGTTTTAATAATCAAAACTTTTTGTAGTACTATTTGGCTCTTTTTCCATCAATCTACTTAGTCCGCATGCCAATTTTTATAACAATCGGTGAAGCAAACAGAAACACTACTAATGAAAATTCGCAGGCTGGGGGGATACTTTTAAACGATCAGTGCAGCGCGAAAAATTTTTAATGCGAGAAGAGTTCAAAAAATAGTGTCGCAAAGTTTTGATGGATGTAAATAGGGGATATTTTGCAAAAAAAATGTTAGTTAAATGTTAAAAAGGTTTTCCAAAAGTCTAAATGTCGTTAAGGAAAAAGTGGTATGATATATTTGAAAAATGTGGAGTCTTTTAGAAAATTCACAACCAAAAGCACCCCACAATTGATGATATAGATATATAAGTAAATCTTTCTGAGGTTACCAGTATCGCTCGATAGTCAGAGGAATGATTTCAGTGAGCTTGAAAATTGAAAAACTCTCTCCATTTCATTATCTCGACTTTGTGCTGTTTTTTCAAATATCATATTTATATTTTTTCGTTTCAGCTCAAAAATCTCAACAAAGGCACAGTTCTCATCAAAATCAGAATACTCATCCACAGCCAAGAAATGTTCATTTGGGCCAGGAGTTTAGTTTATACAACCAGAGAAGCTGCAATCCTCCGAGTCAACCATTGCCATTTCAACAAGAAGGAACTCCTATTAATCAGTTAAGATCCAGTAACTTCCGACCAGGTAACGTGTCCAGTTCTCAGATATTGCAGACGATGGGATTTTCCAAACAAGATCTGCGAGCCGATTTGAAAACTGAAAATGGTCAAGCAGATCCCAGAAGTACCGAAGTGACAATTGAAGCCGATCTCTCCAACCAGAGTTTTGAAAACAGAAACAGTACTGCTTGATTCCTTGTTTTGAATTAAACTTTTACACTGTCTAAATATAAATTTTATTAGAATCTAGCCGTTTTTTCCTACCGTTGAAAATTATTCTGGTGTGTTTTGGTTTTTTAGATTTCCACGCAAACTCAAGTACTACAAACAAGCATTGGAATGGGTTGATTGACATACCAAAATAAAAACTTTTCTCTACTATTTTTCGAGGCAACAAAATCCTTTTTTCATCCATTATAATCGATTTTTTTTCACTTTTGTGAACATTGACAATGAAACTAAATTATAGCTGTTTTTTTCCACTTTACTGAGATGCGAGTTTCAACGCACATAAAATCTTTTCTACGTTTTAAATTAAACTAAAGTTGGTTACGTAGGTTACTTGTTGTTCAATTTAATTTTTTTTTCTGCTTAGGTTACTTTTTTGAATTTGTTCTTTTCAACAATTTTTGTTAAATTATTAGAAATCTTTTTGGGGGGAGGGGGGTAAAGGGGGGGGGGGGACAGGTGGACTAATCCCTCTTCCATTACCTCCCTAGCGTTTGCCCATTTACAAATTAGTACAATTAGAAATGGATTGCGCCGTACACTCACTTTGCAAAGTTTCCGCATAACTCACTTGATAAATGCAAAAATTCGTGTAAAATTTTGCACGACGCGCGAAACAAAAATTAATGTAATCCATTTTAATGTAATTTCCTACTTATTATAAATCCATTATAATGGATTTCAAATGAATTGTAATGCATTTTGTTTTGGCGAGAAAAAATGGGTTTAAATCCATTTTTAGTCCAATTTTGTTGTCTGAAAGTAACATGGGAATCGATTATACTTACAACATTGTAGACCACGAAAATCCAATATAATCGATTTGCTTTCATTTTTCTTAAAAGCAGGTTGGTTCAAAAATTTAGTGCTTTCTTGAAAATAAAGGTGTTATAAAATTTTTTAAAAAATTTTGTGCAAAAAGTTATAAAAAATCAAAATTTTTTTACGTTTTACGTTTTTGACCGACCGACACTGAAACTTTTCAAAAATCTTCTCCATGCCAAAATGTACTTGCCCTCACAGCAGTCAAAGTTTCAGTTTTTTTGTAACCCACATGCTTTCATTTATGCTTTTATCGTCATAAATAATCATACAATTTTTATTTATAGAATATCTATGACTGACACTTTTTTAATAGCGACGGCGCAAGTTACTATCAAAATTAATACTATCAAAATTGCCCCAAAAAATGTTTTTTTTTTCAATTGCACATTTTTTGTACTGAAACAAATATTTTATAAAAATATTTCATATGGTTTGTTTTTGTATCTCTTGATCAATGCATCGTTGAATAAAAGCTCAAACTTCAAAAAATCACCTTCACTAAACCAGATATTTTCTGAAAAAAATTTCATTCATTACACAAAGCAAAATTAATGAGAAAAATTCTTGTTTGTTTCAATCTACTGGCATTAATTTTTCAATCAATTGTCAAAGAAAAAATTTATCTTTTTGCGCTTAGTAAATTTTGATCGATATTCAAATTCAATTTTGTTGTGGATTATTTTTTTGCTTTTTGCACGCTTTAGTTTAAGGAATTTAAAAAAAAAAACGGAATTCAGAGTCAAGTTCAGTAGAAAAATCAAGTCCAGAAATAATTGAATTAGAAAAATTCTTAAGCTAAAAAATAGCTTAATCAACTTCATTTTTGTGTTGTAATGTTTTTTTGGGAACCTTCAAAATCAGAACTTTTGGAAAAATTGTCATAAAAATTGATATTTTCCAGTCTTCACATATCAAAATTTTCTAAGTGGCTTTATTTTAAAACGTAATCTGTGGTTTGAATGGTCCACGGTATGCAGTAGAGTTATTATCAAGTATAAAAAACAACTATCAAATAAAAACCCCATTGATTGTAATTCGGTTTCTAAATAAATCAAAAATGTATCTCAATGTGGAAAAAAATTGGGGTAATTGTTTTTGGGTTTCAGATTGAATAGGCAAACCTAACTACTACAAGTTTACATTTTTTTACTACTCTATTTTTGAGGTTAATACAGATCTGAGGTAACCATAGCTTAATCAAAGTCAAAACGTAGTAATAAAAGAATGTACAATTTTCACGACACAGATAGTTTTTTGAATGCGACTTTTATTTTATACCCATAATTTTATACTTTAAAGTATATCTAAGTGGTTATAAAGTTTTATAGTCTTTTAAAAAGTTTTCGAGTTCAGTGTTGAAAAGTTCACTATCAAGATCGGAGTGGTCGCCGAAATTTGCTATTTCCATTCTCAGTGATTCATCGGTTGATGAGTTTGACATTTGATCTGATGAAGATGATGAATCTGAATCTAGAACAATTAACTCCGCCGGATTCGTCTTGTTGATTGTCTCATGTGGTTCCTCAATCTCTAACACAATAGGCTCGGCCGCCAAACCAGAGGCTTCTTGGACACTCTCTACGGCATCAATAAAGTAACGTTGACCATAAAATTTTGGTGGGCCGACATTTCTACTAGAGCGACGGATAGTAGCAGGAATTTTACCGGGTATTATGGCAGGACTGTTGGATATAGTGCACTCATCCGTTGAGTCACTTATCTCATACACCGGAAAGTCTGTGTTTGAGTCGGTCTCCGTCGGATTATGTTCAACTTGTAAGTCATTTTGTCCAATGGTGTCGTTTTCCCCTCCCTGATTTGCGGTTCTCTGATCCGCCGAGTTAGATGTTCGGCTGGCTGGCACTATACTTATTGGGCACTCATATGATTGATCCATGGGTTGTTCACTGATTGGGAAACTGTCGTTTTCTAAAATCTCAGATTTTATTTCAGGATTGGTTATAGTAGAATTAAAATTATTTCCGATTGAGATGTGAGGTGTAAGTGAATCCGAAATAAAGCGCTCTCTGGCTACGTCTCTACAAGGGAAACCGCCCGCTATCCATTCCCATTCACTAGTATCCGAAATATCCGAAGGAATTAGCATAGATTCATCCGAAGCGAGGTAACCTGGATGAGTTGGTGACTTCTTTGAGCGTCGTGTCTATCTTCTTGTCGGGATGGATGATGATCCAGAAATGCGTGTCCTAGTTAGGTTATCGGATGATGTCGGGTCTAATTGTCTGGTCCTTCTTTTTGTTGACTTCTTGGGTTTTGGTTTTCTTTTTGAGCCTTCCAGTTTCTGACCTACTTCAACATTAGGGTTAGAAAAGTACGGGAATGAAATGTTTCCTCTAAAAGGTCTGATTTTATTTGAGGTAGAGATAGGAATCGCAATGTCGAATTTTCGTATTATTTTTCCGTCGGATAACTTAACTGTCGAAGTCGAAGAATTTATAATTCTTTTGTTTAGTTCTTTATAAAAACAGTCTCGGTTGATATTACCATTAGTTTTCCGAAGGATTTTACCTTTAAAAGGGCTTTCGATTGGTATTCTGTTTTGCGTCATTTTCGAGGATGAAGCATAGTCTGTATCGTAGCCTTTTTCAGTCGGATTTTTGTTCTTCTTCGCAATCAAATCGTCCTTGTATCCGTCTTCTATTCTATCATCCGCGTTCCAATCCTTAGCTCGATCCTTAGACAATATTGATTTCCCTTTGTCTAAAATTCCAAAGGAAGGTTTACCCGAAGCTAATTGTTTCCAAATAGTATTTGGTTTTCTGTTATAGTGGATCTCGAAAGGTGAGCATTTAATTTTTGATTGGAAAGTAGAACGTAGGTTCCAAATGATTTTTGAAACGGCATTTTGCAGTGTGGTTTTATGATGTTCTTTTGAGATAGCCAGTAGTTTGACTTTTACAGTGTGTACAAGTTTTTCGACTAATCCGTTGGAACGGTGATCGCCTACTGTACAAAAGATTATTTTGATGTTGTTAGAATCGCAGAATGATTTGAAGTCTTGACTTGTAAAGCAAGTAGCATGATCCACCCTTATAGAATAAGGTATCCCGTGTAAGAATATGTAGTCTTGTAAAAATTCTATAACTGTCTTTGAAGAGGTAGATGATGTAATTTTTGCCGACGGAAATTTAGAAAATCTGTCAATACAAAGTAAAATGTATTTATTTGACCCCCAATAATAATCCAAAGGACCCGCGAAATCTAAATTAAGTTCTTCATTTGGTTCTGATAATGGAGGAAGTTCACTAATTTGTGAATTAGGAATAACAGATTTTATATTCTTACCCGCCGATGTACACTCTGAGCAATTAATTCCATGAAAGTAGATTTGTCTGTTAATGTGGGGCCACCAAATGTATTGGGCCAAATATTTCATTCCGAATTGACCTGGATGTGTTTCGTGGAGGGTCTTCATCATCGCGTTTCGTAGGGTAAATGGAATAACGAGTTTGCCGTCCATGTAAAGTAATCCATCGGATGCGTGAAGGTCTCGGGTGAAATGTTTGAAATAAGGAGAATCTGCATTAATCTTCTCCACCTTATTTTGAAGTGCTTTAACAATAGGGCTTAACATGGGATCGTCTTCTGTCAAGAGAGCCACTAACTTGGCGTTAAATAAAATATTTAAATCCAAGGGTCGATCCGGCAACTTCAAGTTTTCACGGTATTTTTTAACGAGATTGATATGATTTGGTAAAAGTTTGAATTCTAAATCTACGGAAATACCGGAAGTGGTGGGATTAATTACAATATTCTTATTATTCATATTAACAGTATCTACAATTTTTTTATCTACAGGTGAATTAATTAGGCTACAATTAAGAATTAAAAAATAAAGAAATGCGGAATTTGAAATGGAAATAATTAAAGTATTTGTGTTGGAATAATCCGTTGGAATACAATTTGAGGTACAAAATTCTGTTCTTCTGTGATTGAATGAGCAAATTGGAAAAGACGAGTTAATAAGTTTTAGTACTGCTGCTATTAGGTAATTACGTAATAAGACGTAGTCGGAATTTTCCAGATTGAGACCAATGGCTGAGCAAGTAGTTCTTAGTTTCTCCGACGGATTTAATGATTTATTAATCTTATTAATGTTTGCTACTACGAATTCTTCGTCGTAATGTGATGTTGGGAGGGCT